CCAGAGAGGAAAACACCAAATGCCACACTGTCTCTCCTTCCCAGTTTATATGAAAGTTGTCCGAATCAAAATGGAGACACTTGTGTTAAAACCCTGACAAACAGAGCAGGGGAAGGCCATGAGAGAGGGCCCTCCTGCACGAATGCCTGATAACAATTATCACAAAGGACTCTGCAAAACCACAGCCTTACACAGAGGCCATTGCAACCTTAACAAAAACATACTTCTGCGAGGACATCTGCCCAGCGACTCTCTGTCCAACCTCAAACTGGTGTCACCCTTGTTATTGATCCTTGTAGCCAAGGATAATTTTCTCCAAACAATTATGTAATTCTCCATCACTTTTCCTTTAAAACCCTTTGTTTTCTTTTACCTCCCTGAATACACACACAGCTTACTATGACATGCGTATTGTCACTGCAATTTTTTTCCCAATTAAACTCATCGTTCTTTGAGAGAGCCTCTCTCTGTTATTTGGGTTAACATTTACTATGGGACGTAGATTGTTATGGGGATGGGCAAGGGCTGAATTGGAGTGAATATTTGCAATGTGGAAAAATGGGCTGACTTATGTAAGCTTTAGGAATTTAATTCTCTGGGCTGAATTTGAAGTATTACATCACTTCTTCCTTTGCTAGCGGGTATCACTGATTGAGAAAATTTTTTAAGGAAGGTTGTTCCTCTAAAAAAATTAGAGAAAAATATCTCCAAACATATTGAGTTTATTTGGGAATAGAAAACAGGATTATCATCCAGAATGCACACCATTGCAAGCCACAAGTGCATTTGGTGAGCAAAAGGTAAGAGAAAGCTCATTAGCAAAAAGAAAGAGGTTTACATAAGCTGCTTGGAAACAGAGGCTGAAAATCAGATTTATCATGAGCTCATTGGTTGGGGTGCTGTTACTGGGCAAGTTTCTTTTGGAGCATCTCCTCTCAATTACTGCAGTTCTAAAGAAATCTAAAGATAAACCTTATCACAGAAACATGGTTGAACATGCAAAGCAGGAGATGCGTGAAGAATGTGAAGGGATTTCTGATGGGTTTTAGGAAGTCCTTAGAAACAGTTCTTATCTCAGACAAGCAGGCATGAGCCCCCTCTTTTGTGCATTTCCTGGCCCTATTTTGTGTGAGTCTGACAGAACATACTTGCAACAACTTTCACAGGTTCTGCTTCTCTTTTCTCTCTGTTACCCTGGAAGCCCTAGGAGAGATAGGCCTAATGTTTGGTGGGTGGGAATAGGTAGTGAAATCAAATCTGTGCAGGAGCACAGCATGGTGAATAGTACACAGAGTCCTGAGTGGCTGGTCAGAAAGACTGGATCTGAGGCCCAGCCCAGTGGTTTATAAGCTGTGCCACATTGCCTAAGTCACTGAACCTCTCCGTGCCTCAGTTCCATTGTCTGTAAGCAATAACCCCCAACATCACCTCATAGAACATGGTGAGGATTAAATGAGATAATGGAGAGATGGCACTTTGTGTGGAAAAAAATTGTTCTACAGGGGAAAAGTAGTATTGTTAGAAAAATTATTTGGTAGAAGATCCTCTGCCCATGCTGGATCCTGCCTGGCATAGGTCAAGGTGACCACTGTCTCCTTGTGAGCATTGCTGAGGAAGCAGGCCTAGAGTGCTAGGCAGGGGAGCCCAGTGCCATGATGGCCTGGGGGTGGCTATAGAGAGGGAGCTGCTGGCCAGCGGCCCCACCTGCACATACTGAGGTAGAGGGCCCATGCCCGGCCCAGGAGGAAGGCACCCAGCTTCCATGCTCACAGCTGAAGGCTCGCGGCGTGCAAGCAAGCAGGTCTCCACGCTGGCTTGCTTCTTTCTGTGCCCCTCTGTGGTTTTTGAACAGACAGGGCCATACTTCTGGGGGCTTGGGAAGATGGTCTCACAACAAATATGAAGCAGTCAGAAAAATGAGGGCTCTGTGAATCTTCCTCAACAGAGACCTTAAAGTGCTTTTAACCTTCAAGCGTTCCCCAGGCTTTCCTGCTATGTGTATTCTTAGCTGTGCAGACACAGAGAAGCCAGTTCGGGTTGCTGCAAACCTGCTGGGGAGCTGGGGTTGGCAGCCAGGACAGGACATCTGGTTTCAGCAGCCTCCACCACCAGGCAAGACATCCTCCCTCATGCCGACCTCTGGCGGGGTGGCGCTGACAGAAGAGTAACAGGAAGGGAGGCCTGAAGACAGCGGGTTTTCAGAAGAGGGAACAAAGACAGTGGTGGTGTGGAAAGAGTGAAGATGCTGGAGTCAGAAGACCTGGGTTGAACCCTGACTTTGCACCCAGCTGTGTGGCCTTGGTGGGTCACTGATTCTCTCTGAGCCTCCCTCTCCTCACACCTGCTTCTCAGAGCTGGGCTACCGAGTGAGCAGGTACATGTGAAAAGCCCACAGGTGACTCCGTAACCCGCTTTGTTCCTAAGAGGTAGCCAAGAATTCTCTCCGGCATGAAGGTAGAAGCACCCCCATCTATTCTTCTCCCAAATTCTCTGATTAAGGGAAGGTAACTATTGCTTATTGGGTTCCAGTCGCTGTGTTAGTGACTTTCCGTGTGTTATTTTTTTGTACCCTCACAATCGGTTCTTTGAAGTAGGTGCTATTGTTCCCATTTTCCACATAGGATATAGAGGCTCAGAGAGGGTAAGTAACTTGCTCCTGATCACACAGCTGGTAAGTCGAGAAGCTGAGATTCAAATCCAGGTCAGCATGATCGCAGAGTCTGTGCTCTGGGCTCCACGTCACACTGTACCAGGATTTCTAGTACCAGGAAGATATGGCCACAAAGATCCCTCCACTAACCTGATGCAGAAAATCAGTTAAAATTAGGGTGGCCATATAATGTATCATCCAAACCAGCATGATTTTGTCCTGTACACACAATAAAGTAGCCAGACCCCAGGATAACAAGCATGAACCAAAAGTATAGTCACCCCAGTTAAGATGCACACAGCATGAGGAAGGGTGATGGTTCAGCACGTAATGTATTTCACGGATTCTAAGACACACTGTGCTCTCACATTTAACACATTTAACAACCACTGGCATCTTAGCTTCAAAGAAATG